CGGTTCGATATTTGTACACCCGCTGTCGCTCACATATGATGAGGCAAAACGGGTTGCCTTCCAGGGTGGTATGCGCCTGTCGTATTTTGATAAATTTTGATTTTCTGTACCATCAACTAACTGGGATAGGGGTGGCAAATTAGAAACAGGTTTCCCTAGGATATTTGAAGTGCTGATTTATAGCCGGTGCAAGGTTTGAGACTGTAGGCATAATGACCGCAAATATGCATATTTCGCGCAAAACGCGTAAAACGCGAAATAATTTCGCGTTTTGCATATCACATGAAAAACACCTCACGTGTTTTACGCGAAATTCACTGCTCACATGCGTTTTTCGCGAAGTGAAATGTAAAATGTGTTTTTCACTAGTGTTTTTCACATCACGGATGAAACTCCAATACAAATTAGATTATTAATATTTTTTCCTGAGCAGCACTCCTTTTCACCAGGCGGATAGCCAGTATAGGAGTATGGCCGCGAACTCAGCAGCTCCGAAATGAGCGGCTAAGCCCAGGTATATGCTCTGAAGCGAATTCACATAGATGGTATATGTATAGAGTCGGCCGGAATCATTAATTATATTTAATATTATTCAATATATTAAATTATCCATTAAATATCAATGAAGGTTGTTGTAATATCTAATACTGATCTTTATATATATGTGAGAGTTTCCCCCCGAGGGAAAGGAAAAAAAACACTAGTGAAAAACATATTTCACGACTACTGCATATCACCGCGAATATCGCGTTTTTCACCGAGTTTTACGCCACTTCACGTAAAACGGGTTGTTGTAAAACTCCCACTATATTGAATTATATCAACAACATATTGATACCGGTTATTAGGATTATCCTATATCGATTGCATAAGTATGTTAGTACAAAAATGGAGTTTCACAACCCGTTTTACGTGAAATGGCGTAATACTCTGTGAAAAACGCGCAGTAGTAATGCAGTAGTAATCGCAAAATATATTTTTCATATCACTAGGGTGAAACTCCATTTTATCAGTTACACAAAATGAGTAGAAGTGTACAGAAACCAATGAAAATTACCGAAAATTCCCCAAAATTTTCATTTTCTCACCAACACATGGAGTAAACTATGTGCATAATCCTACTTTCCCGTATGTGACGGATTCATTTTCCGGTTCCATTTCGCAGGGCGATGCTGTTGCCTCTCGAGAACTTGCGACCTACACCAACCTTTCAAAACTACACCCGCAGTAGCGCAGATGGTCACCTCATCACCACTCGCTAATTTAATAAAGAGTTTATAGCCCTGATATGATGCATAGAACGCGAGTCCAGCCCAGACGACTAGTAAAACGACCGCAATGGTGAACATCCAATTCCACACAATTTTCTGGCAAACCATAACTCCAGCACGATTTGGGTCTTCCTGTTCTCTGAATGCAAAACCATACATGAAAAAAACGTATTTTTTTCCAAAAATTTCGCACTAACCGGCTGAAACTTCAACCTTTCACTCATCGTGGCAAATGCATTTCCCCCATAGTGAAATATTCATCAACTGTAGATTCATCGAAAAATGGAGACCTCACTACTCATTTCCATGTCTCGAACAAAATGCCACTTGGCGCAAAGTGATGAACATCGATGGAGTTTCACCACCCTAGTGATATGAAAAGCACTGGTGAAAAAAATATATTTCACGACTACTACTGCATATCACCGCGAATATCGCGTTTTACACCACTTCACATAAACCGGGTTGTTGTGAAACTCCCACTATATTGTAACTAATAGTATTATAAGTGATAACGTATTAATATTCATATCATCATATTACTATTCATACCTATTATATGATATACCAGTAACAAGAAGACGCGGCGATCACATTGCGTGAATTTCACACCAATAAAATACTCATAAATCTCATACCACATGAATTCGAGTAGTAGAAACTAGTAGAAAAAAGTAGACCAGTAGTTTCACAGCAGAGAAAAGTAGTTTCACAACCCGTTTTACGTGAAGTGGCGTAAAACTCTGTGAAAAACACGATTTTCGCGGTGATATGTAGTAGTCGTGGAATATGTTCTTCACTAGTGTTTTACATAGTGCATTGAACTTACATGCATCCATCCGTGAATGTAGCCACCAACACATATATCAATATTGCCGTTGCATGCGATGCATGAATCAGCATGAGCAGACAGAACAAACTCATCAGCGTTGGAGACCTTCGAGACAGATTACATTTCCACAACTACTAGCAGCAACAACTACGCTTTTTTCGCGCCCCAGTAGCCAAACGCAGGGATCACCGCTACAAACGCTATACCAACAAGGGTTTGCATTAATGGCTGACCTGATAGAAATCATAAATACGACATATACGAGAAATGTCTACAGTGTTGGAGTAGGAATATATTTACTCGCTTTTCTCACTAATTATAGGAGTTTATATACGAATTCAAGAAGAAGTGCCCAAAAATTTTCCTCAAATTTTCCATAAAATTTTCCATAAAATTTTCCCCCAACACTACATGTCTTACCATCAGCAATAAGCAGAGCCGTCCGAGCGCACAAAGTGACGAAGATGAGAAATGTCGCGCGAATGACCTTCCGAGCTCTCAGTGTGACCTACCATAATTATCTGCTATACAATCTCGCTAATCGATCACTTCCAGAAACCTCCTAAAAACCCGTTTTACGTGAAGTGGTGTAATACTCGGTGAAAAACGCGATATTCGCGGTGATATGCAGTGGTAATTAAATATGTTTTTACTGGTGTTTTTCATATCACTAGGGTGCAACTTCATCGATTATTTCAAGAATTAATACTCTTGAAAACTCATCGCGTCCCTCATAAGAAATCCGCCTTATGCATCGATCGCAATAGTATAGAAATATAATTTTAATTCCCTCAACTGATACTAGAACTTTCTTCATAACATTATAAAAACTCGCACATGATTTACGGTACAAAAACCAACGAAAATTTCCCAATTTTTTTCTCAAAATTTTCATATTGTCATCACCAACACATGTAGTTGATCATGTGCATATTCCCCCCACACGGATCGTTTAAGCTCCACTAAATTTTTTAGCTTAGCCACCGAAAAGTAATATATGGCACAGCCACTTCAGAGGTCATTTTCTGATGAAAATTTTTGCAAAAAATTATTCCCTAGTTAACTAATGCTGTCTCCTCCTCCCCCACTTATCACCTCCGGATCAGTGATAACTAAATCCAATACATGATAGTAATTCCCAGCATTAGTTCGCCAAACACGTTGAGCTCCATCGTCAACTGCATTATTATGAGCATTCATATTGAGAAATAAACAACCGGAGACTGTACTCCATTTTACTTCTATTTACGAGTAATCTCCTGCTTTTCTTGCACAGAAAATTTGTCGCATATTGCTACCATAATTTCCAGTCTAAAACTGGTCCCAAGGAAAATTCTGTCGGGGAGCATAAAATCAATTTTTCTCAAAAAAAATAAAATCTTTAGTAATCCACTAGTAATAGTCATTCACCTGAAAATGCTACTGGGCGTCAACGAGTGAATCTCCGAAAACTCTCACACGAAAAAAATCGCTTGTTCTACTCTGAAACTGCTCCCGATGAATTTTTTCGGGTGCATAAATTTATTTTTTCTCATAAAAAATCAACTATCACTTGGCAACGATACTTGTTGAACCACGAATGCTAATAACACTGATATTCACATTGGTTGACAATACTATGAAGAATAATGAATAATGAATCTACGACATCATTGTATTTTAAAAATGGCAAATCTGATAATAAATTTTCATTTATACGATGTTTTCTATAATTTATATTATGGAATATGTCATTAAATATACAATTTATACGACAATACATGATAATGGCCCGGTCTGAAGTCGGCTGGCTAGTCTCTTCTGCTCTCATCGGAAATCCGCGTCACAGTCCACACGTGACTGAACCGATCTAGGCATTGGTGAGCAAAAGATTTTATATGGACTCATTGGTGTGATCGTCATGAGCATATGCCGTCCATCGGTAGGTATGAGGATCCATCCACGGGACTGGGTATTATTACTTTTAATTTT